AGTCCACAAAATGTTGCGCCATTTCTCTTTAGGCCAGTCAATGTGCTCTTTGGCAGATTGTAAGCTCTTCAGCACACGTCTTTTCCCCAACAGTGGGACTTTGCGGGGGCTTCTTGCAGATAGCTTGGCTTCACATAGGAGTCTTCTAATTGTAACAGTCCTCACAGGGAACGTCACACCTTCTTTCATCTTCCTGGAGCTGATTGTTGGCTGAGTCCGCGCCATTTTGGCTATTCTTCTATCCATTCGAATGGTAGTTTTTCGCTTTCTTCCACGTCTTTCAGGTTTTGGTTGCCATTTTAAAGCATTTGCGATCATTTTAGCTGAGCAGCCGATCATTTTCTGCACTTCTTTATATGTTTTCCCCTCTCCAATCAACTTTTTATACAAGGTACGCTGTTCTTCTGAACAATGTCTGGAACGACCCATTTTCCTCAGAATTTCAGAGAGAAATGCACTGTAACCAGCATGTCCAACATTTGCTGCCTTCCTTCCTTAAATAAGGGCAATAATTGCCACCTGTTTTTCAAAGAATGAATGACGTCACTAATAGAACTCCACACGGCAATTATTTTGAACACGCTCCTTTCAATGAGTGATTCAATGACACAGAATCAGCAGCATGCATGTCATGACTGTTGGGTCTGTTGGATTTCTATGACTCTACTACACCTGCTAGGAAATTATTTGCCATGTAGATGTATCATTTCCCAAAAACAGTGATTGATCCGGTTAGTGATGTCTGACTGCTATTATTTTGAACACAACTGTAAGTACCTGTAATAAATAATAAGAGCTCAGTTAGCAGGATGTCCAGGTCCCGTGGTAACTCAACTATGGTCCTTCGGTGATGTAGAAGGTCTGGGTGAGTGCGCCTCCCTCAGGCCGCGGAGGTCACAACCATCAGCTGTTGGTGTTCTGCGAGTTGCTGGTGGTCCGGAGGCGTTTCCTGACGCGACTCTGTGCTTGTATTGTCTGTCAGATTACTTTGCAGAATCACTGTGTGTGGCCGGAATAAAAGCATGGCCGGCTGATGTTTGTCCTCTCACCTACTGTAAAATATCAGAGTATTTTTAGCCGCAGCGGACTTCGGTGGCACAGAACAAAGGCTCAGTGTTTCCGCACAACTCTCAGGCCATGCATAAAGGGCAGTCGGCCCCAGGCAACAATTACAAAACCAGCCAACTGCCAATGCTATGAGTGAGACACTACAGCTGTGCGCAAATGATAAAAGTTTACCTAGGATCCGACTTTTATTTCTTTGCATTGGATCAGCAGGATTTTACTGGATATCCCCTTTTGAAGAGCGAGGGCCACTGAAAGTGTTACTAAAACCCTCAACAGTAGAATCAGTCTGTAGATGCAGTACAGCATTCTTGTTATACTCACTGTGGAACCTAAGGGGTTAATCCTCTGCATTATGTAAAAAGGTTGTTTGATCCTGTCTTCTCTGATCCTCCCCTTCTTCCAGTGTCTCCCTCTTATCTCCTGATTAGGAACCCCTGGTGTAGGATTATTGGATGGTTTTTTAGTAACATTGGTGTCAGTGGGAAGAATGCCCCTTACATTGGTGGTCAGTAGGAGAATTTCCCCATGTGTAGGTCGTTGAAGAATTGCTCCTTACAATTGGTGATCAGTGGAAGAATGTCCCCTTACATTGCTCCTTTACATTGGGAGTCAGTGGGAAGAATGTCCCCACTTACATTGGTGATCAGTGGGAAGAATGCCCCTTACATTGGTGGTCAGTGGGAAGAGAATGTCCCTTACAGTTGGTGCCTCTTACATTGGGAAGAATGCCCCTTACATTGGTGGTCAGTGGGAAGAATGTCCCCCTTACATTGGTGATCAGTGTGGGAAGAATGTCCCCTTACATTGGGGTCAGTGGGAAGAATGTCCCTTACATTGGTGATCAGTGGGAAGATTGTGGTTCCATGGGAAGAATGCCCCCTTACATTGGGGTCTTGGGAAGAATGTCCCTTACATTGGGCAGTCAGTGGAAGAATTGAAGATCAAAGAATGGCCCCTTACATTTGGGGTCAGTGGGAAGAATGTCCTTACAGTGGGAATCATGGGAAGAATGCCCCTTACATTGGGGGTCCAGTGGGAAGAATGCCCCTTACATTGGGTCAGTGGGAGAATGCCTCCATTTACATTGGTGGTCACCTCCTTTTACATTGGGAAGAATGCTTCCCTTACATTGGTGGGTCAGTGGGAAGAATGCTCCCTTACATTGGTGTCATGGGAAGAATGCCCCTTACATTGGGTGATCAGTGGGAAGAATGTCCCTTACATTGGTGGATCAGTGGGAAGAATGCTCCCTTACATTGGTGATCAGTGGGAAGAATGGTCCCTTACATTGGTGATCAGTGGGGAATGTCCCTTACATTGGTGGGAAGAATGCTCCCTTACATTGGCAGTCAGTGGGAAGAATGTCCCCCTTACATTGGTGATCAGTGGGAAGAATGTCCCTTACATTGGTGGTCAGTGGGAAGAATGCTCCCTTACATTGGAGGTCAGTGGGAAGAATGCTCCTTACATTGTGGAGTCAGTGGGAAGAATGTCCTTACATTGGTGATCAGTGGGAAGAATGTCTCCTTACATTGGTGATCAGTGGGAAGAATGTCCCTTACATTGGAGTGTCAGTGGGAAGAAATGTAGCCCCTTACAATGATGGTGGTGTGGGAAGAGATGTCCCTTCAGTGGTGAGCAGTGGAAGAATGTCCCCTTACATGGTGGTCAGTGAAGAATGCTCCTTACATTGGTGAAGAATGCTCCTTACATTGGTGATCAGTGGGAAGAATGTCCCTTAACATTGGAGTGATCAGTGGGAAGAATGTCCCTTACATTGGTGATCAGTGGGAAGAATGTCCCCCTTACATTGGTGTCAGTGGGAAGAATGTCCTTACATTGGCTCCTTGACATCAGATCGTGGGAAGAATGCCCCTTACATTGGCAGTCAGTGGGAAGAATGTCCCTTACATTGGTGATCAGTGGGAAGAAATGTCCCTTACATTGGTGGTCAGTGGGAAGAATGCTCCCTTACACTTGGCATTTTTTGTCAGCTGGGGTCCCTTACCATTGTGGTCAGTAGGGAAGAATGTTCCCTTACATTGGTGATCAGTGGGAAGAATGTCCCTTACAATTGGAGAGTCATGGGGAAGAATGACTCCTACATTGGTGGTCAGTGGGAAGAATGTCCCTTACATTGGTGATCAGTGAGGAAGAAGGATATCCCTACGAATTGGTTCCTGGAAGAATTCCCCCCTCCTTACATTGGTGATCAGTGAAAGAGTGCCCTTGCATTCGGTGAAGAAATGTCCCTTTACATTGGTGATCAGTGGGAAGAATGTCCCCTTACATTGGTGATCAGTGGGAAGAAATTGGTGATCAGTGGGAAGAATGCTACTTACATTGGTGGTCAGTGGGAAGAATGCCCCTTACATTGGTGTCTGTGGGGAAAATGCTCCTTACTTTGGTGTCAGATGGGAAGAATGCCCCTTACATTGGTGGTCAGTGGGAAGAATGTCCCTTACATTGGTGGTCAGTGGGAAGAATGCTCCTTACATTGGTGGTCAGTGGGGAAAATGCTCCTTACATTGGTGGTCAGTGGGAAGAAATGCCCCTCATTGGTGGGTCAGTGGGAAGAATGCTCCTTACTTTGGTGTCATTGGGAAGAATGCCCCTTACATTGGTGGTGAGTGGGAAGAATGTCCCTTACATTGGTGGTCAGTGGGAAGAATACCCCTTACATTGGTGATCAGTGGGAAGAATGCCCCTTACATTGGTGATCAGTGGGAAGAATGCCCCTTACATTGGTGGTCAGTGGGAAGAATTCCTCCCATCCCCTTACATTCACCTATAATGATCCATGGTGTCAGCGGGAACTTATCTGAAAGGCTACTATTGCCCATTGCTCAAGGAACCCCATCACCCTCTGGAGAAATCTGGTTGAGAAAGGCTTGTATAGGAATGGGACACAACCCCAGTTTTTGCATGCAGACTACCCTAGGTAACACCTTCATCCGATGCTGAGCCTCCATGAAAGGGGCCAGAGGCAGTCAGGCTGAATAGGTTAGGACTAAATGATGCTGGACGTCCTCCAGCGAGGAAATGAGGCGAGTTCTATCTGACTGGCTGCAGCTTCTAATGCACATCGTGAGACGCTCACAGTGTGCAGTGAAATCAGAGGAAGCCATTTCAGTCCAGGAGAGGAGCCGATACAACTGAGCAAGCCTGAAGGGAAGGCCAGAGTTTGACTGGAGTGAACCTGCATACAAAAAAGTGTGTAAAAGCAACAAGTTCTCCTTGCAGAGAATAAAAAAAATGATTTCTTTTCTGATAATAATAATGATGAGACTGAAGTAGATGTAGAAGTGAACTCTTTATGGAAAGGAAACCATTATGTATTTTCATTGAGTGCATGTTCTGATTGTCAGGTGTACACGAGCGTGAGCTTTTAATGCGACTTCTGCATTTTTACATACCAGCTGTTAAGTATTTCTGTGACTGAATTTTACGATCCTCGTTCTGCTTCTAGCATCTATCTGAAGTTTTCACATTTTCCACTCAGGAGCCAAAAGCTGTTGACATAAGAATAGAGGACTGAAGAGAAGAGCGATTTTACATTGAATATTTGTTCATCTAAAAGTTCCCACAAAGAATGAATGTGACTGACATCAGGGTTAATTTGGACGCCAAATTTCAATTTAGTTTTAGTTGTAATTTAGTAAATTAGAATCTCCAGTACATTCTAGTCAGCTAAAATCTAACGGGTTTAGTTAAATTATAATGCATTTTTTAAAGTGTTACTAAACTCCGGACCCTGCATTCACTATATCTGGTCTCCCCGGACCCTGCATTCACTATATCTGGTCTCCCCGGACCCTGCATTCACTATATCTGGTCTCCCCGGACCCTGCATTCACTATATCTGGTCTCCCGGACCCTGCATTCACTATATTGGTCTCCCGGACCCTGCATTCACTATATCTGGTCTCCCTGGACCCTGCATTCACTATATCTGGTCTCCCCAGACTCTGCATTCACTATATCTGGTCTCCCCGGACCCTGCATTCACTATATCTGGTCTCCCTGGACCCTGCATTCACTATATCTGGTCTCCCCAGACTCTGCATTCACTATATCTGATCTCCCTGGACCCTGCATTCACTATATCTGGTCTCCCTGGACTCCTGTATTCAAAATATCGGTCTCCCTGGACCCTGCATTCACTATATCCGGTCTCCCCGGACCCTGCATTCACTATATCTGGTCTCCCCGGACCCTGCATTCACTATATCTGATCTCCCAGACCCTGCATTCACTATATCTGGTCTCCCTGGACCCTGCATTCACTATATCTGGTCTCCCCAGACCCTGCATTCACTATATCTGGTCTCCCCGGACCCTGCATTCACTATATCTGGTCTCCCTGGACCCTGCATTCACTATATCTGGTCTCCCCAGACTCTGCATTCACTATATCTGATCTCCCTGGACCCTGCATTCACTATATCTGGTCTCCCCGGACTCTGCATTCACTATATCTGGTCTCCCCAGACCCTGTATTCAAAAATATCCGGTCTCCCTGGACCCTCAATTCACTATATCTGGTCTCCCTGGACCCTGCATTCACTATATCCGGTCTCCCCGGACCCGCATTCACTATATCTGGTCTCCCCAGACTCTGCATTTCACTATATCTGGTCTCCCCGGACCCTGCATTCACTATATCTGGTCTCCCTGGACCTGCATTCACTATATCTGGTCTCCCCAGACTCTGCATTCACTATATCTGATCTCCCTGGACCCTGCATTCACTATATCTGGTCTCCCCGACCCTGCATTCACTATATCTGGTCTCCCCAGACCCTGTATTCAAAATATCCGGTCTCCCTGGACCCTCAATTCACTATATCTGGTCTCCCTGGACCCTGCATTCACTATATCCGGTCTCCCCGGACCCCGCATTCACTATATCTGGTCTCCCCGGACCCTGCATTCACCATATCCACTCTCCCCGGACCCTGCATTCACTATATCTTTATATCACTAGAGGGGTCACAAGGAGGTCCTGATTCCCCTATAAAGATCTTTATATCACTAGAGGGGTCACCGGAAGGAGGAAGCAGGTCCTGATCTCCCTATATAGATCTTTAGTTAGACCTCATTTAGAGTACTGTGTGTCTGCTTCTTGGGACACATGCGTTTTTTGACCTTACATGATATAAGGTCAAAAGCTTCAGGTGAGGGCACATCTGGCGGTTGTTTGGTGGAGGATTTAATCTGTATGAAGACAGAAGTTTTGTTCTTTATTCAAGTTGAAGAGATTAATTTTGAGAGACTTTGTATTGATGTATGTTCAGTTTATTGATTCATGTTCACTTTGATTGTTATATGTTTTCTATATATTTTACATTTAAAGTTGTTTGATTTGTATAGGGAAGCGATGTTCTTACATAGTTACATAGTTATATAGTTAGTCTGGCTGAAAAAAGACAAAAGTCCATCCAGTTCAACCATTAAAAAAAAAAAAAAGTTGTAATCCTACGCCCACAGTTGATACAGAGGATATATATTAAATATATTTATATTTAATTTTCATGCATGTTATGAGTATGTGTCTGGGGTGACCTGCTTTCATTAGTTATAGGTGATTGATTTAACCCGTTATTGCTCATGAGAAATATTTATATTTTTGGGGGATTTTTTTTTAGAATACTGGAGAACTCATTTACAAAAACATATTGATACGATAGAACTAGTCCAGAGACGGGTAACAAAAATGGTGGAAGGTCTGGGGGGGATAAAACATATCAAGAGTGACTTCAGAAACTTAACATGTACAGTCTGGAGGAAAGAATGGAAAGGGGAATCAGGACTGAAATCTTTAACCCCCCTGGTGGTATTCCCGAGTGTAGCTCGGGGTAAAGTTTCAGCACCACAAGCGGTAACCCCCCCGAGCTACACTCAGGAATACACAGCAGCGTTGCTCCAGGATCCCTTCTTATCTTGTCCTGCGCTCCCGCAATGTCCCCCCTGCAGTGTCCCCTGTAATGTCCTCCGGCCGATACCGGCATCCGTCTTCCAGGTTCCATTCCCTGCGACGTCGGGACATACGGGGGACGGAACTGGCGGGAAATTTGAAAGTTGTAAAAGTGACATTCACTAAATACACTAAAATCACATAGTATAACATTACGATTCTGCGACTTTGCTCAGTGATGTGCGAACTTGGTGCTCTATTTCAAATTTCAGTGTTTTTGGTTTGATTATATTATTGAATTAGAACCAAGGGTATGAAGCGAGCGCTTACTGTAGCAGCTAATGCACCAAAAAAAGTAACTACAAACTTTCTCAAATGAACAAATCATAAAACGTAGTGCAGCGCTAAACAATTATTATTATTACTATACGAGTTTATATAGCGCCAAAGGGTTTGCTCAGCGCTGTACAATAGGGGGGACAATACATGGCACAGTACAACAGCAACAAACAACGTACGAGGGGTAAGAGGGCCCTACTCTTACGAGCTTACAATCTAGGAGGGAGGGGGTAAAGGTACAGTAGGAAGTGGCTGAGGGGGATGAAGTGGTGGGAGGAATGAGGGAGGATGGCCGTTAGGTGAGGGTGGGGTAGGCTTCCCTGAAGAGATTGGTTTTGAGGGAGCGCCTGAATGTGAATAGGGAAGGCGACAGTCTGATGGATTGGGGCAGTGAGTTCCAGAGGATGGGGGAGGACCTGGAGAAGTCCTGCAGTCATGCATGGGAGGAGGAGACCAGGGAGCAGGATAGAAGGAGGTCCTGTGAGGAGCGAAGGGTACGGGTAGGGTGGTACTTGGTGATCAGGTTGGTGAGGTAGTCAGGGGCAGTGTTGTGAACGGCTTTGTAGGTCAGGGTTAGGAGTTTAAATTTGATGCGTTGGGCAATCGGGAGCCAGTGGAGGGAGAGGCAGAGGGGGGTGGCAGAGGTGGAGCGGGTGGTGAGGTGGATGAGTCTGGCAGCTGAGTTCAGGATGGTCTGGAGCGGGGAGAGCCTGCACTTGGGGTAGGCCAGTGAGGAGGGAGTTGCAGTAGTCAAGGCGTGAGATGATGAGGGAGTGTACTAGAAGTTTGGTGGTGTCTGGGGTGTGAGGAAGGTACGTATCTTGGCAATGTTGCGAAGATGGAGCCTGCATGTGTTTGTGAGTGATTTGACATGTGGTTGGAGGGAGAGGTTCGCGTCAAGAATGACGCCAAGGACTTTGGCTTGCGGGGCGGGAGTGATAGTGGAGTTGTTGGTGATGATGGATAGGATGGGGGGGGGGGTGTTGGCAGGGGGAAAGATGAGGAGCTCGGTTTTGGAGAGGTTGAGCTTGAGGAAATGTAGCGACATCCAGTCTGAGATGTCATTTAGGAGGTGAGTGATGCGGGCGGAGAATAGTGGGGGTGAGGTGAGGGGTGGAGAGGTAGATTTGGGTGTCGTCAGCATAGAGGTGATAGTTGAAGCCGTGAGATTGTATGAGTTTGCCCAGGGAGGAGGTGTAGATGGAGAAGGAGAAGGGGTCCAAGGACAGAGCCTTGGGGGATTCTGTCCCCCCAAAAACAATTAATTACCAATATACCAATAGAATATGATTAACCAATCATAAATGAGATTCAAAATCAATAAAAAATTCAGTATAAAATATTAGTGTCCAGAATTAGCCAATCAGATGGTAGTAGTTATTCCCACTGGTGAATGATAGACCAATTATATATATACAGTTGCAAGAAAAAGTATGTGAACCCCTTGGGATTAGGTGGAGTTTTGCATGAATTGGGCATAAAATGTGCTCTGAACGTCATCTAAGTCACAACAATAGAAGAACACAGTCTGCTGAACATAATACTACACAAACATTAGATGTTGCCATGGTTTAATTGCACATAACATGTAAACATTTACAGTGCAGGGAGGAAAAAGTATGTGAACCTTTGGACTTAATAACTGGCTGACCCTCCTTTGGCAGCAATAACCACAACCAAACTTTTCCTGTAGTTGCAGATCAGACCTGCACAACGATCTGGAGTCATTTTGGACCACCTCCTCTTCACAAAAACTGTTTCAATGTAGCAATATTCTTGGGATGTCTGGTGTGAATCGCTCTCTTAAGGTCATGCCACAGCATTTTCAATCGGGATGAGGTCAGGACTCTGACTGGGCCACTCCAGAAGGCGTATTCTGTGCTGTTGCAGCCATTGTTTTGTTGAATTACTTGTATGCTTTGGGTCATTGTCCTGTTGCATCACCCATCCTCTGCGGAGCTTCAGTTGGAGGACAGATGGTCGTTACGTTTTCCTGCAAAATGTCTTGATAAACTCTGGAATTCATTTTCCCATCAATGGACAACAATCCGTCCAGGCCCTGAGGCAGCAAAGCAGCCCCAAACTATGATGCTCCCTCCGCCATGTTTTACAGTGGGGATGAGGTTTTGATGTTGGTGTGCTGTGCCTTTTTTTCTCCACACATAGTGTTGTGTGTTCTTCCCAAACAACTCAATCTTGGTTTCATCTGTCCACAGTATATTTTGCCAGTAGTGCTGTGGAACATCCAGGTGCTCTTTTGCAAACTTCAAACGTGCTGCAATATTCTTTTTGGACAGCAATGGCTTCCTCCGTGGTGTCCTCCCATGTACTCCATTCTTGTTTAATGTTTTCCTTATTGTAGATGTGTCAACAAAAATGTTAGCATGTGCCAGAGATTTCTGTAGGTCTTTAGCTGACACTCTGGGATTCTTCTTTACCTCATGCAGCATTCTGCACTGTGCTCTTGCAGTCATTTTTTACAGGACGACCACGCCTAGGGAGAGTAGCAACAGTGCTAAACTTTCTCCATTTGTAGACAGTCTGTCTTACCGTGGACACATGAACATCAAGGCTTTGGAGATACTTTTGTAACCCTTTCCAGCTTCATGCAAGTCAACAATTCTTGATCAGTAGGTCTTCTGAGGGCTCATTTTTCTGCGAGGCATGGTTCACATCAGACAGTGCTTCTTGAAACCAGTTAAACCCAAAACAGGTGTGTGTGTTTTTTGAGGGCAGGACAGCTGTCAGCAACAACATCCAATATCATCACACTGATTGGAGCCAAGGTTGGCTCACTCCTGGCTCCAATTAGCTCTGGGAGAAGTCATTAAGCTAGGGGCCTCACATACTTTTTCCTCCCTGCACTGTGAATGTTTACATGTTATGTGCAATTAAACCATGGGGCAACATCTAATGTTTGTGTGTAGTATTATGTTCAGCAGACTGTGTTCTTCTATTGTTGTGACTTAGATGACGTTCAGAGCACATTTTATGCCCAATTCATGCAAAACTCCACCTAATCCCAAGGGGTTCACATACTTTTTCTTGCAACTGTATATATCTCTCCGTGTGTATAAATCTGGAAATCCGGTGGCGTGCGATTAAAGTGGAGGGGTCACCAGCAGGAGGAAGGAGGTCCCTGATTCCTCTATATAGATCTTTAT